ACTAGGGAAACAGAATGCAACCGTTATCCAAACTCACGGCACTTGGCCAAGGACGCTCAAAAGCCAGGGCCTCGATGGTGGCAAGGAGCTTCTGCCGATCCCGGTCCTTGAAGCATTGTGCTGCCTTGCAATCTTGGGCTCTGGACGACTCAAAGCATGACGAGACATTGGATCAATGCAGATACCATGCAAAGGGGCGGTACGAATTGCCTTTTTGCTGCAGGCTTGCATGCAAGAACGCCTGTACGAATTGCCTAAACCCTAAACCCTAAACCCCTCAACCGTTTCTTTGCTACTGGACTCAAGTCTAGAACCCTAAATCCCAAACACGACCCTAACCTCAGAACCTTCGACACCTCGGGAGTCTGAGTCTGGGAACTCAGCTCTCGCACCGGCTATAAACTACACACAGCCTGTTTAGGGGCATGTAGGGGCCTTAATGAGCAGAATTTGGTCTTGGGCTCCTTTATAATAGATTTGGGGCCTTAACGAGCAGAATTTGGTTTTGGGCTCCTTTATGATAGATTTATAGCAAGAAAGTTGAAGGAATAATGTGAGGGCAATGCTTTAGGCTTCTATAATAAGTCAGGTGAGGCTTCCACAGGCTGCACCACACTACATTACCTCACCAAACTGTGGGGTGGGATATATGATCACAGAAGTATACGAGGACCATCAACGGATTTAAGCACAATTCTTCCGACCCGCACGTGATTTAAAAAAACTGAAGAACTCTTGAATGATTGTTATGGGGCTCTGTGCTCCTCTACATTACATTTATAGTAAGGACCCCTGAGAAATAGAACGATTGGTTGATTAGTCTCAGCTGCTGGAGTCTCTGCGATTCGGGTGGGGTGTAACATGGCAGCTTCTCCTCCAAAAACACGAACTAGCCACCCAAAAACTGTGTGTAAGACTTATGTTTACGGCTTCCACAGATGTATGTTCAGGACTGTCCAAGTCAAACCTAAAACATTCATCAGGTTTACCCACTGTCACTGCTAGTGCTGCTGCTGCGGCTGATCGATAGACTACAGAGGCCACTTGTCTAAAAAAAGGATCTCGCTATGTCGCTGCCACGGTTGCTAGTGCCATGGGCTTTGACATTGTCACAAGCACATTAAGCATTGGCATGTTATTCGATACTGATGGCCATAACGGCGGCTGTATGCACGATTACAACTACTGGCATGATTGCTGTGCTTCGGGCTCAATCGCTGTGGACACTACTGCTTTCGCTGATTTAGCATGCTTGCAATTGCTGCTGCTGCTAGCAGCAGCAGCAGCAGCAGCAGCAGTGCTATTGATACTGATGATGATGATGATGATGCCCCCACTCCAATTGCCACTGCAAGTGACTGTCACTACGACAACAACAACCACGACAACGACGACACAGTCGACTACTGACAACTGCTGCGTTTCACGTCCACGGGCCTTGACATCGAAGGTCCTGATGCGCTCCTCCATGTCGCCGCAAAGTGGGACCATCCTGAGAGTTCTGAACCCCGGATCACGGGGGCTTGCGCCGTGGCTTTAACTAGGTCGAAGTTCTCATTACCCTAAGTAGCCCTAATTGGGGTTGTAGTTCTTGCATGGTTTCTTGTAGCCTGCTTCTGGAATACCCTCATCCTCCGAGTTCTGTTTGGCTGCCCATGTTGTCACCGAAAACCTCCATATGCTTTGTCTAATTTTCGGCACTAAAATATAAACACCAACTAGTGTGTTCGCTGCAGCGTCTCGGGCTAATGAACAGGTTCTGGTACCTGCCAGGTAAAAGAATCATGATCGCATAGTCGTCAACATCAACTACAGCTGAGGTCCAGTCAATCAAAGACATTGCTGCGACCTTGCTGCCATTGAGGGGGGCAGGTTGTGTTCTGAGTCGGGGTCAAAATTACGACCAATCACGGCAAAATTTCGGGCTCCTCTGCTGCCTACGGTCTTCTTTGAACTATATGTAACACCCTAAGCCCCGCGTTAACCTACCTTACAAACTAAACCATAAATCTCCTCCAACCCTAAACCCCTAAAGACACAAAACAGTAAACTAACACTGAACCACAACACCTAAGCTCTTGAGGCGGGCATCTCAATCGAATCAACGCAGCGATCCATTTGGAGGTAAACGAAAACCTCCTCCACGCACCAGAGCCGGTCCTTGTGGGTTTTAGGGTTTGGGGGTTTGGATCCCGATGCACATTTCTTGATTTGTGTTTGTTTGTGTGGGTCTGTCTCTGTGTGTGTGTGAGTGTGTGTGAGTGTGTGTGTGTGTGTAATTCCTGTTCCTAAGGAAGATCTTCCCTGAATACATAACAATCATTCGAAATGCAGGGGGCAGTGGCCCACTCAAGAGTCCACTGCCAACGAAGCTACTCTTGAGATGGGAGGATATCCAGGCTGATCACCTGGACGTACCTGCAGTGATGTCAAAAAAGACATCCGAGAGATTGCACATTCTGAGTAACCCAAATCAATACTACCAGATTCTGAAGACCTTTGTTCTGAAGTCATTCTGAATACATCCTGAGAAGTCTGCCAGTGAAAGAGTGCACCCAATTCGTGGTGAAGGATGATGAAAGACAACCAGCTTCGACTGGGTGTGTGTGTGTGTGAGTGTGTGTGTGTGTGCTTCCTCAGTACATGGGAAAACAGGGTCACTCCTACAGTTTGCAGGGGGGCTGGACATGTGCATCGGCCGCCAGCCCAACGAAGAGGGCCGTGCACATCCTGATATTCTCGGGAGACGTCCTGGGAACGTACCTGCAATGAAGTTTGTGACATCCTACTCAGACTCACACAAGCTGCGCATGCTGCTATCCTGTGATATCGTCGCTGTACAAGCATAGCATCTGCAGCCAGCTCGCATGACTGTCAACAACACCCCGCCTCACCCCTCTTCTCTGCTTGCCTCTTGCTCTTGCCGAAATCCCACAGGTGTGTCTGTCCCTAAACCCTAAACCCTAAAGTGTCATTTGGGGTTTTCAACTCTCCCAGCTTGGCGGCTTCGACGCTCACACTCGGACGATCCAAGCGAGGGCATGTGGGCTCGAGAGTCTGCTGAGGTGTGACCAACGTTGCAGCAAGCCCATCGACACCCACGGTCCATTACATAAAACCCTGGTAAGGAGGGAGATTGAAGCTTGCTCACACCAAAGTCCCTAACTCCTCAGAGATACTTAGTTAGGGACTTCAGCGGCGACTTCAATATGGATCGCGGCTGTCGGCGTATCAGGTAGATCTGACGGGACTACAGAGATTATCAAGATGCCGGAGAGGCAGAGGGTAGCATCACGATCCTTTGACCTTGCGGTTCCTCTGTGAAACGGTGCGTCTGGGGATTCATGGCGTGCTAGAGTTGTGTATGTTAGAATTGCTTGATAAGAACTGTCGCAACCCAGAGTCGCAATGAACTGTTTCACAGACGAATCGTAAGGATTCCAAAGGATCGCGATACTACACAGCTTGGGGGGGCCTAGGGTTTAGGGGTTTAGGAAGGTGGATCTGCAGATTCAATCTCACATTCAGCGGCCACATGCGGTATTGCAAGCAACCTCTAGCCTGTGCTTGTAAGCTCATGGGTAGTTACAGCTGGGACCATACCGAAGACAACTGTAGCTTCAGCTTCTTATGTCACCAAATCAGGCATGGACAGTCTTAAATTGCAACTGCCGAGTAACATTCAAGCAATTCCAAAGACCCTGGCCCCCCCAAAAACCTCAAATCCTGAAGCCCTTACGCCCTTCTAAGCCTTCAAACACCTCGAAGGCAATGTTTCGGGCTGAAACCTATTTCAAAAGGTGATCAGGGGATTTGGTACCTGAATTAGCTGCAAGGTGATGAGTACTCCGATTGGGTCTACAGCTTAGAAATAATTACCAATGGTTATTCCTTCAGGTTCCTCAACATCCTTATGCCATGGTATAGCCAAAAACCCTATTCAATCAATCATTAAGCCCCCAAAGACCCTAAACCCTAAACTAAAACCCTACATTACGAGCACATAATGTAAGCAAAGGCATGAGCCCACGACTTGGGATCTCGAAACCCCGCATCGACTCTTCTTGGTTTCGGCTCTTCCTCTGAACTTCATGCCTTTTCCACAGGCTTGAACTGAGCTCGCCCGGAACTTCATGCCTAAATCCTGAACAGGGTTTAGGGTTTAGGGAAGATCCGCGGCTTTGTAGAGTTTCGGGGCCGAGGGCGTTTGAGATTGTGGGGTTTGGGGGTTCTTGTTTGGAGTCGAATGTAGGGGCTTGGTGTATCTTATGCTACAATTATAGTAAGGATCGCCAGGGAATAATATTATCAATGATACAAACCTCTGTATTTCCGCTTAAACCCGCAGCCCAGGCTTTGGGCGGACTCTGCAACTGGTGGAAACACGAAGTGTCTGGCTTGCCCGAACAATGAAAATGCGTAGTCTTCCTAGCTCTTCAGGCCCGCACATTACACGGTCAGAAAGGGGACTTAGGGCTTTGGGCCAAGAGCGTTTCGTCGTCAAAGCAACCAAGACACCAGACCCCGAAAGCTACCAGGACGAGCGGCAAAGTAGGTTTCCCCGGCGATGATCAGCAGTGTGTGGCAGCTGGCCAAGAACACCTCACTTCTGGGTCTCGGGGTTAGGGTCTGGTGTTCGGGGGCTCGCGTTTCTTTCTGTCCCGGCTTCACACCTGTGTCCTGGGCAGTGCCAGTGAGATCAGAAACTTGCAACGGTACTCATGCGAATCGCACGCTGACAACTCGGAATCTCAGACAGGGGGCACTCGTGAAACTTGGGGCTGCTGTAACAATACCTACCAGCTTGCTTCTAACTGACCTAATTACCACCTCTTAGGGGCCCAGTACCTTAGCCCAAAATAGGTTAACCTTTTGAATTATAATAAGTTTATATAAACCCCAAAAGGTTAAAGGTTACCTACAGTACTCCGCCCCTAAGATCCACTAAACATGACGAAACCACAGCTCGCTCCAGACAAGGCCAAGGGACTGGGAGGCACATCAAGCTGGCTTCGATGTTTTCCTGGTCGATGCAATACCTCGGTTTGGTTTGTCTGGGCTTTACGCTTCAGCGCGCGGTGCTTATAGGACGCTTATGGAAGGCTTGTAGTACCTTTCTGGAGCCCTTATAGTAGCCTTATGGTACCCATATGGAACCGGTATGAACCTTACACTACCCGTAGCACCCTGTAAAACTGCTGTGGGAAAAATAGAATCGGATACGCAGACCACGTCTAAGGCCATACTATGAGGGGCTACTGTGACAGTGCTATCAGTGTCTTATAGACATAGTATAACTTAAGGGTTTTATAGAAATATCACAATTTGACGGTTTTCTATAAAGGGTTGCTATTATTTGGGCTTCTACTTCACCGGAGGCGTCTTTCAGCCCTCAGCTTCATAGGCAGACCCCTGAGAGCCCGATAAGCGGAATATCAGTGAAAGTGTAGAGGGGTCCGTGACATGACGTTGGCCCATTGCAGCTGATACTGCGGTTGTTGTTTAGTGGAGCCAACTGTGCATCTTCTTCTGTACTGAGAGTGCCATGGCAAAACCGCCGACGACTAGGAAGAGGACGAGCACGAGGACTGCGACTACGACTATGCCTTCAAAGGCGAAAGGGCACACTTGTTTGTACAGGCCAAGTCAATTTGTGCGTTGGTTTAGGCTGCCGGGCTCATTGCCCAAAGGTTTCCGCTGGGCTGCTTGTCAATCCAGAGCCGCGGCTCGCGCTGATGCTGTGCCTAGGCAAGGATCTCTGTCGCATGAAGGAGGCTGATGAGGAAGACACGAGGTGCGAGACCCTGGACTCTTTCAAAGCACAGCATGGGTCAGCGGGGGTTTCTGTGTGTGTGTGTGTAGAGTGTAGATGTGCTGAAAACAAGCACAACTCTATTGTGCTTACTTATGTAATGTAAACTTAAACACCTGTATATGAACATATATACATGTACAGATGGGACCGGGATCCAGACAGTCAGGCAGATAGGTAGACAGATCGACTTACAGATAGGCAGGCAGATAGACACAGCGCCGGAGAGACAGAGACATAGACAGAAAAACTGTTGGATAGAAAGGCTACTGATTTGTAGAAACCCTAGCATGGATTCATGAATGAATATTGTGTAGTTACCCCTTGTGGCACTAGCGTACATGTACGAGTACTCATTCAGCAACTGTTGGTCGGCATGTGTCAACACGTGGGGCAATTTAACTGTGAGTGTGAGATAAGATATATATATATATATAGATATTTATATATATAGATATATATATATAGATATATATATATATATAGATATATATGATATATATATATATGTACTAGCCAATTCCACGGCAAGTTACCTAACCTCATGGCAATCCGTTTAGCAACCTGGTCTTATGGTAAGGTAGTCTTATAGTAACGCTATAATAACCCTTAGAGCATCCCTTGCCGTCACTCTTCTGCAAGCCTCGTAGTAAGACCCTAAAGCAGCAGTTTCAGCCACCCTGGTCCTGGCCTTGAAAGACCTTCGCCAAACTTGGAGTGCCTCCCACTTGGCCAAAGGTGGGTCGTGCCAGCTGTGGCTCCTTGGCGCAAAGGGCCAAAACCCTAAACCCTAAACCCTAAACCCTAAACCTTGGTGGTGGTGCGGGCTGCTCCAGGGTTTGTGGTTTTGGGTTTACGGCTTCGTGCCTGTTGTGGACTACTCTTCTTTTCGGAGATCGTCCTGCTCTTTGGGTTTAGGGTGTGGGCTTGCGGTTTAGGGATTTTACACTTCTTTCTTGGAGCACTCTTCAGTTGCTGGGTGTTGCTATCTCGTCTTCTGGTTTTGGTGCTGCGGCGCTGTGGTATTCGGGACGTCTGAAGTCTTAGGAATTTTGTTGAGGGGAGAGGGTCTGGGTCATGGTTCAGGATTTGAGGGTTTCGGGTCTTCTCGGAGTTTAAGAGACTCCAAGATCCGTCAGATACGGGCCCGCTCGTAAAGCATTAATCTAAATGCCTAAAAAACAGAGTTGCTGGGTCTACCGAAGTTAGGTTTTCATAGGGTTGGGTAATTTCCAATATACTGTGGTTCAGGGATCCTTGAACTTTGTTCGGTTCCGATCTAGGCTTCAGGTCTTGGTTTTGAAGGGTTCTATCTATAAATTTCAGGGCCTTTTGAACTTGGTGCGCATGATGGAGGTTTGGGTTTCGTTAGAAACCGAAGGAATGATGCCGCCGCCTTTTCGTGAAATGCTGCAAATCTAAATCCCAAGCATCAGATCCTCCGCAAAAACCGGCTGTGCTGAAGTTCAGCAATAAACTTTATCTTAGCTGTTACTAGTAGAACTACAGAGCCTAAAACCCTGAAGAACGTCCCCACAGAACAAACCTTCACCCCCCCCCTTACTAAAGGAAATCGTGCCAATTACTTTGCAACTGAAAGGCGAACCTCATAAGGAACCCAGTGTTATAGTAGCCTTATCGAAACCGAATTATACCCAAATATAGTATCCTTATGGTACCCCTGTAGAACTGCAGAAATACTCCTGAAATTAAGGTAGCCCAAGCACAGGAATGCATCGATGTCCTGCAGGGGCTTTAGGCTTGAAGGTGTAGTTTGGACTTTCGACTTTGCAAGACTAGTAATGCCGCTTTTCTTTGTTGCTTGCTCTGTGTCTACATACGCGTATTGCTGTCTCGAGTTTGTTGGGAACTTGGGGCGTGTGGTTTGGGGTCCGAGGGTTCCCATGTGCCATAGGGCTCTATAGGAATCGCTATAGACTCTCAAACCCATCGGGGTTCCGAAGTCAAGATCAGCTCTTAGACGACCCACACCCTTCTTACTCCAAGCACTCTTCCAGCAGCAAGCACGGAACGATTTGGGCAGTTCTCTAAATTAGGGTCCCTTCTAGGGGCCTTTTTTTTGATAAGGGTGCCGTAGTATGAGGCCCCGACTCTTCCCCATTGAACCCTAAACCCCATTAAGCATTCTATTACATATGAAAGAGAGGGTTTAGGGTTTAGGGTTTAGGGTTCCTAAACCCTAAACCCCAAACCCTAAAGGTTTAGGGTTTAGGGTTCCCAAACCCTAAACCCCAGACCCTAAACCCTCGTTTTTCGAGGAGGGAGGCAAGGAAGAGGAACCCCTGAGCCTCCGGTGCAGCCTGAGCCGATCCAACCCTAAACCCGTTTAGGGTTTAGGGGGTTAGGGTTTAGGGGTTCAGGGGTTTAGGGGTTTAGGGGTTTAGGCGTTTAGGGTTTCGGGTATAGGGGTTTAGTGGTTTAGGGTTAAACCCAAACCCCTAAACCCAAAAGCCTCCAAAACCCCTAAAGCCTAAACCTAAACCCCCCAAACCCCAAAAACCACCATAAACCATCGGAGCCCTTCCGGAACCGAAGGCTGGACACTGGAAAACGAACTGGACACAACCCTAAACCCTAAACCCTAAACTCTAGACCCCTAAACCCTAAACCGCCGTAAACCCTAAACTCTAGACCCCTAAACCCCTAAACTGCTGAACCCTAAACCCCTGAACCCCACACGGACTCGAGTCGATCATGCCGCGAAGAAGCAAGTCGTCATGTCGTTATTCGACACAACGAAACCAGCACAGGCCTAAAGACACTGCACACGAAAGACCCATGAAGGCGGAACTTGCTCAAATAAAAGAACTGGAAGCTGCGAGAATTCTCTGCCTTGCAGCGAGACTAACAAATCAGGAAAGAAAGATGCATCAGAAGAAGCATGAAGCATGAGAGCGAATGGCATACCACGATTAGCAGCGGCCAAAGGCAGGTATCGCAGAAAGCATTCCAGCGCCTTCAGAGCCCTACAGTAAACCCCAAAAAGTTGGAAACCGGATTAAGGACAAATAGTGCTGGGATTCCCTATACACTACTCTTAACGATTGAGACTATTGGGTTTCCAACTTTTGGGCTTCTACTGTAAACCCCTGAAGCCCTAAACCCCTAAACCCCTCAACCCTGAACCCTACCCTACAGCCCCTTGAAAGCAGCCCCCACCTGCAGGCGGCAAGCAGTAGAAAGGCGTCGCAGCGTAGGGTCAGGGCTCGAGCTCATCATGTCCTCCACGCGGTTTGGGGCTTAGGGTTTAGCGGTTTCGGGTGTTGGGCAACTCTTTGTGCGAACTGGCCGTAGAATAGCAGTTAAATGCGTTTGTGGCTGCAATATTTACAACTGGAGTATGCCGGCCTGGAGCGGTTGGTTTTCGAAGCCTATGTCATGAAGTTCATGTCCTTTCACACCGAAGTAATCGGTGAGTTTTGTAAGGTGCTTACATGTCAAGTAGTTTCTGAGGTGTCAATACCCATGCTCTCCTTGCTGTAGGTTAGGGGAGTGTGCGTTTGGCTAGACCAGGCCTTTTTGCAAAGAGTTTAGGTATTTCGGGTACAGGGTTTGTTTAGGGTGTAGGGGTTTGAGGCCTTATGCAAGTTCAGGTTACTGTACTTATTTCAGGCGATGCTGGACGTGCTTCATGGGTTTTAGGCGCAGAGGCTGTAAAGCTTCGATTGCTTCATAAGAAAACCCGAAACCCTAAACCCTAAATTTATGAGGGTGGAAAGTTGTTCATTGAACGCTTCGGGTCGGGTTCTGGGCTTGGGGAATCAGGATCAGCAGGGTTTTCTGCCAGCCGCACGTCCGGAGTCCAGGTGCCTCAATCGGGGTGTACGGCTTCGGGCCCCTTAAACCTATTTCCCCAAACCCTTGATGCCACACAAACACTGCCAGCACCGCTTGATAACCGTGCAACCTGTAAAGTGTGATGAAAATCCTACTAACGGTTGAAGCAATGCAAAAATACGGTTGATGATATAAATCCTGCAATACCCATAATAAGGAATATAGCATACTTCCCATAGTTTGGGGTCCCTCAATACTTCCATCCCAGAACCCTGAAGCATCCTGCTGCGTCACTTTGTCGCAGGCCACGAAGCGACAGGTGTTCTGAGCGACCTTCCATTCAGATCAGGAGGTGGTGTCTCATGCTTTTTTGGTGTGATGTCTTGGGTAAGAACCTTCTTAGCCCGAAGGCAACCCTTAAACCAATGCTTGAAAGGCCCTTGCAGGAAGGATTGGTGGCCTCCTCTACTGCTGCCACTACTGCTGTCTTCTATACATTAGGAGTTGGGATTAGGAGGACCCTTGGGGATATAGACCCTCTCAATAAGGTCCCCTTTAAGAGAGCCAGAAGTAGGGTTAAGAAGGGTCCCTTTTAAGGGGTCTCCCTGAGACCTACCTAGGATACATGCTCCTTCATGCGGAAAGCCCTAGGGGATGCTTCGCTTCACTTGCCACCGGAAGCCCTTTCAAGAAGCTAACTGTGGGTTAAGACGTTTTGGGGTTTCCCTAAAGCCCTAAACCCTAAACCTTCCCTAAAGCCCTTGTTTAAGCACGGACTTGCAGTGTATGCCGGCAGCGAAGCTCGAGGGCTTCCCTAAAGCCCTAAACCCTAAACCTTAAAGCCTAAAGCCCTAAACCCTAAAGCCCTACACCCTAAACCTTCTCGTCCCGGCCTCCATCACCTTTCGAGCACTGCGATTGCCTCGGCAAGCTCTGCGTCCCAGGCTTTCCGACTTGAGGTCTAGGAGTTCGGATCTCAGGGTCTGGTAGTTTCAGGGGTTTAGGGTTTAGGGAAGTTTAGTTCAGATCTCAGGGTCCAGTAGTTTTAGGGGTTAGGGTTTAGGGAAGTTTAGTTTAAGAGTTTAGGGTCTAGAGGTTTAGGGTCTGAGAGTTTAGGGTTTCATGTGGTTCTGGATTCCACCTCACGGGATCGAGAGATGCAACCGCTGGGGTGCAGACAATGGTGATGTCATCCCAAGGCCAAGCAAGTTCAAAGACGCCTTGTATAACCTCCGAACCCCAAAGCCCAAATCGGAAACCTTAAACCCCAAAATCTTCGACCCGACCTCTCCGCCTCTCTCAGGCATTCCCTAATCCCTTTTCTGCACAGGCTTGTGTTGTGTGCCAGCAAACACTCCTCTGCAGCATTCCCGAGACCCTGAAAACCAAACTCCGAACCCAAAGAGCAGATGATCCCGTTCATGACCAGGGTTTGGGGTTTTTGTTTAGGGTTCAGGGTTTGGGGTTTAGGGTTTCGGGTTCAGGGCTTAGGGTTGTTTAGAAAATCCAGGCCGCCCAAGAAAGCAGCCACGCTTGTAGCGGCGGTGTATGCCCCTTCGGTTGCCATGTGCTGGGCTTAGAGGGTTTAGGGTTTGTCTCAGGGCTTCGGTAAACACTACTCATACATTCCATTGAACCCAGTGCATGTACTACCATGGTGATCAGCCGCAATTTGTTCTCACTGACATCTGCCGTTCCGGCTCTTGCTACAATTAAACCTGTGTCATCCTCACATTCTCACCCCTCTTGCAACTGTTACTTACTAGTCCTACAAGTACTATCTAACGATGACTGACGGGGCTTGTCGGGTTATCGCTACCCTCCGCTCTCGTACATGCCAATCTTTCCTTCCGACTCTTCTCGCGAAACATCACCCCCATGTCGTGGTCTCATCGTCCAGAAATGTCCCCCTCAAAAAGTGCATGGGCAGAGGGAGCTGGGTTTATACTCGCGCATTCCAAGTGAGTCAGGATACCGGGCTTGAGGTCTGGGTTAGGTTTACCTGTTCGTGGAGCCCTTTAAACCTAAGCCCTGGAATGTAGATTCCTGCACGTAGCACTCCCCAAAGTGTGACCACCTGTTGTTGCTACTGTTTTTTTGAAGTCCTGCAGGGCCTTGCCAGGTTCCCACTCATGCGACTCTCGCCCAGTCCCTCTGTTCCAACTTACGGCGCAGAAGGTTCGCAGTGGTCGTCAGTTCATATCGGTCACGCCGCATCCTGAAGCGATGTATGCCATCCTGCCGATTTATGAGTTCATTCATTTCCTACTCACCAGCCACTAGTCTTGCTGACAGTTCCTGCCATTCTCACGACTGCTGGTCCTCTTGCTCTGTTGCCCTTCAGTCTTGTGCATCCGTTTTGATTAATCTTTCGGAACCTGGCGGTTATCAGCATGACTCATGTGAGTTTTGTCAACTCGTGCGGACCCATATCGAATGCAATAACAGCGGCAATGGTACTGAAAGCAGTACTGACAGCGAGAATATCAAACGCAGCACTGAACAGCGAGAACTGCGTCTGAACGCATTAAAGAATTAGCAAAGAATGCAAAAGCTGCTTCCGCTGCCTTCAGGCTACCGGCATGTACCCTTGAACCTTTGGTCTCAGAAACCTTTCATTCGAACGGCTTAGGGTTTAGGGTTTAGGGTTTAGGGCCAAGTTTAGGGTTTGAGCAAAACCGAGAGGCAAGACAGGTTCAAGCTAGACATACAAGGCTCTCGAGTAGAATCATACCACAGTACACCCCCGAAACCCTGGTCTACTCCCATAACGTCCAGGGCACCGCTAGCAGACAGGAGCCGGAAGTGAACCCAGCGGCGGAAGGACGGCAGCATGAGCAGGACGCCTGGCAGCTTCTTCTTTCAGCTTTAGTAGTTCGAGGATCTTTGGGTTTTAGGCAGCTGTGGGTTTTCATGATCTGAGGATTGTCATAGCTTTTTTTTTGCGTGTAGGGTCAGGGTTTAGCCATTTCAAGGTGTTGAGTTGTTGTGTGGGGTTTTGAAGGATTTTAGGGTGCTTACGAACTTTAGGAACTATTTTGGGTAGTGCATTTCGAAAACTGTCCAAACTCACGCGTTCGGAGCATTAGGAGTTTCAGCGACTACGATAATACTGATCATGACGGCGATAAACAACCAGTCCGATGACCACCGTTCGGTGCTGGTTGCTGCGGAGCTAGGGGTGGTGGTTGAACCGGAAGCGACGGCGGCGGCGGCGGTGGTGGTGATGGTGGTGATGGTGGTGACGGTCGTGATTGTTGGGTTCTCGCCCCTGCTTTCGATGCTGTTGCAGATGTTGATGTTGATGACGGTCTGCTGTTGGTATGGGTTTGAACCCTAAACTACGCCGTAAACCCCATGTTACGCTTTGAAAGAGCGCCACACCCCCTTGTAGCCTGACATGAGAGTCCGAAATCCTCATAGGGCACATCCGAAGAAATCTCCACGTTCCCAGAGACTCCAAAACCCCTCAATTAAGGAATATACCTTAAATCTTATTAGGGTTCCTATTATTTTTTTAAGGTATATTCCTTAATTAAGGGGGTTTTGGAGTCTCTGGGTTGCAAGCCCAACACGGGATCATGGCCTCCGGAGCCCCCACAGCTGGACCCTAAATCTGGTAAAGCCTCTGAAAAATATTCGTAAATATGGTCCCCTTAAGCCCAATAAGGGAAAATAGAAAATATCCCAAAGGCCTTCCTAGTAAATGGCACTGCGCTTGCAAAGTCCCTTTAAAAATGCAAGCCCCACGGTCATTGCACAAGAGAATGGTCTTAAGGGTCGTGTGATCGCTTCTTGTGCATGGTTCAGGCTTTCAGGATTTTGATAGGTCTTTCGGGATATCCTAAGCCCTACACCCAATACTTTCTGTGAATGTGCACAGAACGCGCTGCCTGAGACGAGGCCATAAATCCCATGGAGACCGGTCCAGAGGACCTGGGATGTGAGGCGTGGGAACCTAAAGCTTAAACTTTTACCATCAGGTCATCCCGAAGCCTGAACTCTAAATACGAAAACCCTAAACTATAACTTAGGAGCCTTGATTGGGTTTTGGTGGTGTGTACTATGTGCTACTTGTCCTAGGGAGCCCGCAAGACTAGCATTTTTAACTACTCAGGCCGTTTCAAGCACCTAAGGCTCGAACTTCGAGATGTCAAACCCACTTGGCTGCTTTACCGAGGGGTCGGCCCCTCGATTTTTAACAGCTCTAAATCAGCACTCCCGCCACCTGGGATCCCTACATGGGACTTTCCGAAAATAAGGCGGGTGGGGGGCGGGGGTAGGGTTTAGGGTTTAGGGTTTGGGGGGGTGGGGGGGGGGAGAGATACCTTATTTTGGGGGTCCTTCAAAATGCTACGCTTTAGGGGTACTGTATTAGGGTCCCCCTATTTTCGGAAACCCCCTACATCGATCAAGGTTGAGCTTGAGGCTTTTAGGCTTCAGTGAGGGAGTTTGGCTTCCATTGGTTGTCTGTTTTTTTTGTTTTTTGTTAAGGGTCTGGTGCCTTCGATTCTTCTTGTCTTTGTATGGCTTACAGCTGGTTGAAGCTAGGGAGCATTCAGAATTTAGGGCCTTGGGCATTGGCTGTAGGGTGTTTTTGGTGTGGTTAGCCTCGTTTTCAAAAACCCACCTTAAGATGCCATAGTGATGCCATAGTAACGATTGCAACAGGTTTTGTAGGTCTTGAAGACAGTTAATACAATTTGCCATAACAAGGGCATGTAGTAAACAACATGCTTTCCTTCTTATGGTAGCTGTAAAGCCGGGCTAGCTATCACTCAGCCCTGGACCCTCCCCGGAGAGCCCCATGATGAGGTATGCTCCATATTTTGGGAACATAGGGCTCTCCGGGTCTGGCTCAGCTGTCTCTGAGACTCAGCACCGGCACCAGCCCTTCTTCCCTTCGTGAAGAATTGAAGCCGGTAACCTGCATTGTTGAGAACAAGCACTCCCATCGGAAGCAAATGTAGAAGAACATTGAAACCTATGCTCAAAGAGAGGAGTAAGTGGTACTGCAAGACCTTAAACCGCTGACTCTACAAACCCCCCTTCAACACCCACCAGAGCCCCTAGAGGACCCGGCCCGTAACACTCGGCAACCCGCCTTTATAGAACCCTACATACCCGAAACCCGGAAAGGGACCCCAGCCATCACTCGGCCCAGGCGCCACGTCCTTCGCCACCGTCTTCCCCATATGGGCCTGAATGGCCAGGGCCGGCAAGACCGCCTCGGTCCAGAATCCGCGAAACACGCGCCGAGTTCGTTTTCTAAAAAGACAGCATGCGGCCATCTTGTAAGAGAACATGCTGGCACCTTAAGACTTGTAAAGATTCGAGCCTAAGGTTTGGAGCTTTCTTGTCCATGGGGGTGTAAGAATCCTTCTGGCCGATGTGAAGTTCAGGGCAACTAGGCCTAACTAGCGCTTGGGGGGTTTGGGGTAGTTAGGGATCGGGTGGTTAGGGATCCCTATTTTGGGGTGGTTAGTGATCCTTTTTCGGGGGGTAGTTAGGGATCCTTATCTCGAGGATCCTACTAAATGGAGTCTGGATCAGGGATGTGTGCTTTGGCTAGCTGAAGGAGATGGAACGAAGTTGGGTTTGGGGCTTAGGGCAATCCGTCGATCTGCGCTTGGGCACTTTTTGAAAAACACTTCACCTTCTTTTCTCCTCGACTGCTGAGTTGGGGGCCGTGCGGCTCGAGTAGAGAACGGGGTACATCCAAAGGCGAATTCCCGAGTCAGACTGATTCAATTTTGCTCCAAGCCGTTGCGTAGCGACACGGAAGATCCAAAACCCGAAACTCCATGCCTTCATAGGAAATTTGGTTGGGACCTCGGATTTGGGGCTCTGGCCTCTACTTGTAAGGCAGTCACCGGTCGTAGTAAGGGGGCTTGACGTAAATTCACAAGCACTGCAACCCCGGCATTGCGTACTCATAACGGCGAATAACAACAAAGCCACAAGATCCGTTAAGCAGGTGCGCCCCACACAAAGTCAACCCTTTTCAGTTAACCATGTTCCAAAGTCCTGCGAGCCAGGGTGCGACAAAGTCGGTGGCACCCTTGCGAAACGGCTGAAGTGGGGACGGCTTAGACAGTTTAGGGTTTCGGGTGTAAGTTTGGTTTTGCTGTGTTTCGGCTGGGTTGGGTTTGGGCTTCAAGTTCATGGTTGCAGATGATGGCTGGAGGTATCGCCAGGTCGTTTTGGGCCGGATTCGGATGTGTTCTATATTCTCGATCTCTAAAAAGAACTATTGCCTTACAGAAATTACCGCAATGGAGCTCTAAAAGTGACCAAAAGCCCAAATCCAAAACGACTTCTGGGGTTTAGGGTTTCGTGTCTCAGGCTACGAGTACGGGACCCAAAACTTAAACCCCAAACTGCAGAGTTTTAGGGCTTAGGGTTTACCGGTCCGAATCCGGAATCTTACTCAAAGGTCGGAAGGCACCAACCCCTGTTTTGAACCCGTACTTGTAACGGGAAGGAGCTAGTGCCCCCAAAACCCTCCCCCCCCAAGCTCTCAAAACCCTGAAACCCCCTATTCCGAAACCGAAAGCCTAAACCCCTCAGAGCCCCCTCTTGCAGACAAAAAAAAGAAGCTCCCTTTTAGGGTCGCTTTTGTATTAGGGGTGCCGTACTACTTTGGGGACCTAGAAAGGGACCCTCCTTAAGAGAACTACGGTTTAGGGTTTAGGGTACCCACACTGCAAGACCCCCTCTGCAGCAAACCCTAAACCCTAAACCCTAAGCCCTAAACCCTAAACCCTAAACCCGCCCACCACCCCTCTCACTCTAGAGGTGAGTGGGCGCCGTCGAGCGCCAGCGAGACCATGCAGGCCCGAGCTGAGCG